TGATTCAACTCTGACCATTAACCTTTATATATATATATATATATATATATATATATATATATATATATTGCTGGTTGAATACAAGTTCAGACTTAGATGAATCAATAAAATATTTTGAACTAGGTACCTAACTGTTATGGTCCGGTTCCTTGTACCACGGTGATAGTCCAAGGTAGAACCAATAAAGAAGAACTCGAACACGGATATGGAATAACACAGATATATTACAAACAGGAATATATACAGAGAAGTAGAAAGTGTTAGTACAAGCATTCAGGTTTAGTAGTAATTGTCTGAAAGCGACTCTGTTTCGGACTGCCTCTGACTCGACTGACTGACTGACTCCCTCGCTCTGACTGACTGACAGACTCCTGACGGACTTCACTCCAGACTTCAGACTGAACTCCATGCTTCCTCTTGAGGCGCAGTATTTATTACGTGTGGAATAGTCCATTATGTTATTATGGGTAACGTTTCATAACACTAACTATGTAGCAAAATAAATTCTACTGAAAAGTATGTGAAAAGGAATGGCCGTCATGAATAAAATGGATCTAATCTAGGAATCTGATCTACCAGGAGAGATTCTTTCGCTCCACTGTAGAGGTGGTTATAATGTCTGGTGTCACTGCTTGGCCATTAACTAAAACAATTGAGTCTAAGCTCGATTGCACCTACGCTCGGATACTGAGAGCTATATTTAACATCTCTTGGAGACAACAACCAACTACATCACAGCTCTATGGACCCATCGCTGGTATTTCTATAATCTTAGGCGAACGCAGAATTCGTTTTGCTAGACACTGCTGCCGAGCAAAGCAAGAACTCGCGAATGATCTACTGCTCTGGACATCTCGCCAAGGCTCAAGACGGTCTGGTCGCCCAGAAACGACCTACATTGGCCAATGTTATGACAGAGAATGCCACCTTAATGACCTTCCGACCTTGATGCAGGACCATTGATGGTTGACGTGATAGACTCTTGAATGTCTAAGATAGCTCAACCGAATAGAATATAGGTATACCAAATGGTATCTGAAAATCTCTGACGAGGTCATTTATGCCCACACGTTTCATTTCTTGAAGAATTTTAGCAAGACACATGTAGAAATTATAGTTAGTGTTTATACGCACAGATAAATTAGCAAGGCACATGTAGAATTTATATTTAGTGTTGATACGCACAGAGAAATTAGCAAGGCACATGTAGAAATTATAGTTAGTGTTTATACGCACAGATAAAGTAACAATCTGAACAATAAAGTTATGCATACAAATTTGGATTAAGAAAAGTTCGAACATTTCTCGGTCTGAATGAAATGGAATGAGAATTATGAAGAAGGCTGACATAAATATTTGAAACGTCGTTTAAACGAAAGGGGATAAGTGTTTGCTGTTGTTACTATTATTATTATTAGTAAAGCTATTAGTTAAAAATTTACTTTTAATTTAATTCATTTTAAGTCGTACATAAATGTTTGACTGAGAAAAAATTGCCAACAATTTTTTTTTAAGAAATCAGTCAATTATGCGTCATACACGCTTAGGATACATGACTGACGAGGCAATTTTTTCCCCGCAGTAGGTTTTCATTTTTTTCTGTTGTACCCGGTCTATTTACCCCTAGCTGGGGGAAGAAGACGATTAATATCTTTCTCATTCACGTAAGTGAATATAATAGATTCGACTGGAATTCGAACTCAGCTTTCCGATTCCTCAATCGGACCCGCTATCCATTACTCCACCGTGCCTCCGTTTAAGAAATATAACGACTAAAACATTTGTGTTTTTCTAGTTTTACATTTCTCAATGTGTGTATTCTCTTAACTTATCTCTAAACATCTATACCTATTCATATAGATGTCAATTAATTGTATATTTATTTAGAACATCTTTTTATTAATTATCTTTTACTTTACTCTGTTTCATTAATGTTACTACAATTATTATTATTATTATTATTTCCTTTGATTTCTGGTGTGTACTCATTTCTTTCCGGTTCCCGACCAGGGACCTAAGGTCAGAAATGGCATCATGACATTTTCCACTGAACAATTAAAAGAAAAACACACACACACACACACACACAGACACACATTTTACATAGATAAAGCCCTTCATAAGGTGTGGGTTGTATTCGTGAGAACAATTTTTTGAATTTCTTTTAGGGAGGGGCTATCAGGGATCCTTTTAATGAGTTTATTGGAATCTTTTCCACTCAATCCGAAAGCTCCAACTACAACAGGAATTGTTGATGTTCTCATGCGCCATATTCTTGAGATTTCGATTTCAAGGTCCTTGTATTTTGATAGCTTTTTTGAGGATACACAAAGATACATTGCAGTCAGCAGTGACTGCTACATCAATAAGGAAGAATTTCTTTTTTTTTACGGTCTCTAATAAAGATGTCTGCACGATTAGCTTTGATTGTCATGTTTACGTGTATTGTATTGTCCCATAAAATTGTTACAGGTCCTATCTCCGTAACTGGGTTTGGTTG